CCTCCGCCCCATCCAACTGCCCCGTGCTCCCTGCACCCCGGGACCCCTGCCCCTTACCCAATCCCCTTCCCCTTCCCCCTTACCATGCTGCTCAGAGCAGCAGGAGCTCGCAGCCCCACCGCCCGGCCGGAGCCAGCCACGCCACCCGTGCTGCCTGGCAGGAGCGGTGAGCCAGACCACTGGCAGCGCAGCACACAGACCTCAGGGGAGGGGGACAGCAAGGGAGGGGCCGGGAGCTCAGGGGTCGGACAGGCCGGATGTGGCCCGCGGGCCGTAGTTTACCCACCTCTGACCTAGAACCTGTCTTCAGCCAGAGTGCAGCCAAAGTGACACTGTCAGGGTTCAGTCACTATACCACTGGCTTTTTCACTTCTCTCCAAGTGTGCAGCACGGGCCAGCGGCTGCCCACTCTGAGGACAATCTCAGATGGGGACTTTCACTGGGGCGCTACGCCAGCCAAAATATAGAAAATAACTATCATCAAAACAAAACTATTTTAAATGACCACACAAGACACCCAGGCCTTACCTTGTACTGCTGGGCGGCCTCCTCTACTGGGAAAACAGTGTGAGCTCTGTGAACTTGCGACTCTCTGCAGATCACACAAATCAGTTGGTGATCCGTGTCACAGAAGAGTTTCAGGGCCTCCCGGTGTAGCTCACACCCTTGCTCCCCTCCTGCGGTTATTTTGACCTGGAAACTCAGCTGCCTGGCTATTTCCACAACTTTCCCCAGCTCCCTGTTGGGCCTGAAAAGCTTCTGCTGGGCGGTTTCTCTGCACTGCGGGCAGGTGAAGTTTGTATCTGTCTCCCCCCAGCACTGACTGATGCAGGCTCGGCAGTAGTTGTGCCCACAGTGGATAGACACCGGCTCTTTGAAATACTCCAGGCAGATGGAACAAGAGAGTTCATCCTGGAGACTTAGTACAGAGCTGTCTGCGGCCATGGCTGCGTGACAGGGTTAGTTTCATTTCCCTGTGTTCTGCCTCTGTTCAACCAATGGGGCGTTCCCCTTAGATCTGGCTGATTTGCTGCTGTTCCTATGAGCTGTGGCTGAGAGTTTCAGTCTGGGGAGGGCTCTAGTCTGGGGAGAAATGTGACTCTTTCTGTGTGCAGGGAGCTATGTCAAATGCCCAGCGGTGATGCTCAGGGAAACAAATCAATCTCTGTCTGGTGTTTTAGCGGGGTAGAGTGGAGGAGTTTCGTAGGAACATAAGAACGGCAATACTGGGTCAGACCAGAGGTCCATCTAGCCCAGTATCCTGTCTTCCGACAGTGGCCAATGCCAGGTGCCCCAGAGGGAATGAACAGAACAGGCAATCATCAAGTGATCCACCCCCTGTCGCCCATTCCCAGCTTCTGGCAAACAGAGGCTAGGGACCCCATCCCATCCGTGCCCATTCTGGCTAATAGCCATTGATGGACCTGTCCTCCATGAACTTATCTAGTTCTTTTTTGAACCCTGTTATAATCTTGGCCTGCACAACATCCTCGGGCAAAGAGTTCCACAGGTTGACTGTGCGTTGTGTGAAGAAATACTTCTTTTTGTTTGTTTTAAATCTGTAGCCTACTAATTTCATTTGTCAGAGGGGTAGCCATGTTAGTCTGAATCTGTAAAAAGCAACAGAGGGTCCTGTGGCACCTTTGAGACTAACA